ATGATAACAAGTATACCTCCAGGTTACGACAAGTGTACTTAAAAGTTTTGTACCATGTACCTATAGATACATTGGGGAGGTGAGGAAGAAAACTCCAGCAGAGGTGTTTGTGATCTAGCTGTGATGCCTTCACAGTACTCAGATGAAACACTTAAATTTATGTGCAGACTTCATGTTACATTTAAATGAAAACTATGGTAATTAAGAAGTAAGATCACATATAATAGCATAAAAGGAGATGGAAATATGCACGGCCAGACCAGGGTCCGAATCAAGGACCCTCTAAACTCAAGATGGACTCTGGTCGCCCTCCTTTATCTAAGTCTTCATCTCCGAAGACACAATTATTTACAGCCCAGGTTTGGGTATCCCTTTGCAAAGCATATACCAAATGCTTGAAACAAGGGTTGGTCACAGGCACCATATTGTACCAGTAGATGAAACAAAGCACAGCCAGACCAGGGTTCGAACCCGGGACCCTCCAAACTCTAGATAGACAATCTATCAATTAAGCTACCTGGTCACCGCCGATTGACCCAGTCCAGTTCTGCTACAATCGTGTAACAGGAGAGAGAATAGTGTGCTTCAACTTGGGATCGAACCCACTACCACCAGCTTTTGATTCCACCAGCGGCCACTTTCATCTAAAGGGAAATTCTCAATTCTCTCTAGCGTGAAGCTAGAGGGAGACTGCTAGAACTCTGTATCCTATATAAAATATGCACAGTTAAAACCTGCCACACACACACACACACACACACCCCTCCTTCAAATGTGTTCGCCCTTTAGTTTGATCTAAAGGGAAATTCTAAATTCTCTCAAGCATGAAGCTAGAAGGAGGCTGCTAGCTGTATCCTATAAAATATGTACAGTTAAAACCTGCCACACTTCCCCCCCCCCCTTTTTTTTCAAATGTGTTTGCCCCTGAACACCATAACCCAGGGAGGGCTGTGGACACCTAATTTGTGCCAAGTAAGAAAGAAGCCTGCTTCAAACCCACACAGCTTTTGAGTTTGACACTCTACCGATTGAGCTAAAGGGAAATATGCATGCACAATTAAAATTTGCCACAATAGTAGATATCTATATAATCAAGATTTAGTAAGCAAGTTTCACATTGTCATTTTATTTGAGTAGTGTATAATTTATACATTTGTATATATATCAACCAATAAAATGAACCTGGGATGTGGTAAACATAAATTCATCATAACAGGTTCATTTTGTTAACCTAAGCTTTGTTACAATAGACATCATACCTGGTACATGTACTTCTTATAGCAAACAAACCACATCAATAGTTATTGCTTAGTACCAAGATGTTGTTATCTCTCACTGTTAAATTACAGTTAATGCGGTCATTCATCGTTACACCAACTGGTCACACTTATATATGAGGACCATCACAGGTAAGGTGACAAGCACCCTATGGCCACTACGTACATCATGTACCTGTATATATATATATATATATATATACACAGTATATAGGGCAAAGAAGTAATTCCAACAGATATATATATACTTACAATATACACTTCAAATAAACAGTCTGAAGAATCTCCTAGAAGAGATGAAAGTATTAAAGACTCGTTGTTAAGAACTTTTCATTTTATAATATGTCATCGTCCGTAAGGATCATTTTTCTGATTTATAATATATATATACTTATATAGAAGTATACTGGACAGTGAACAACTGTCAGCTGTACCAGGTTCTCACACTTCTAACAAAGTCTACACACATATTCTATGATGCAAATTTAGCTAATATTTTAATAAAATATTCATTTTGAAATTGTGATATAGACAAAGTGTGGATAAACATGTATACATATATATACGCTTTACTTACCTTGAAAATATTCCAAAGTAATAATTGTGTTTTTAATTTTACCTCTTTCATTTTGAAATCTTACCGTACACGTCTTAATCATAACAAATTTAGACATTTTACCGTCCGTTTCTAATTGAAAATATCCCATTATTCTGGATCATTTCTACTTAGGTTGATCGAGTTAAGCACAGTAATGAAATAATACTAAAAAGACATGGTTAAGATTGGTAAGGGATCATTGTTTTCCAAATTAAGTTTACTTGGTACAATAACTTCCAAAACTGTAAACTTGGTGCAATATCTTCCAAAACTGTCATAAATTTATTTTTAATTTAATATTGTATCTGAATTATTAAGAATAAAATGAATTGTGATATATTATACTGCAATATTCCATAGATATATACTGCATATATATGAAATTTGCTTGCACTACCCACCCCTAACTCCTACAATATTTATTTAAGATAAACTTTACCACTGATCCTTAAGGAAAATTTGGTATATTTTACTTCCGGAATGTTGCTTCATGAAATTAAAAAGTTTATTGGAACTATGTAATAGATATGTACAATTTTAATTATTTTATTTACTGAGCGACTTACAAAGTTTTTAATTGCACAGAATATGAAACTCAATAGCTTCAATATTTGAAAGAAATGTTCTGACATGCAGAATTAAAATTATTTATAAATGAGAGGAGGAGGAAGGGGGGGGGGGGGCTCCTTGATATTAATTTACCCATTTACGGTGAAGAATTTTGCCACTATTGTTCGTTGGATGAACAGAAGGTAGCATTTAACTTTCAAACTCTGACACCTCTATCAACAACAACCTGGAATACAGTGTGGGAAATGAGGTGTAAAGCTGTAAAGAGACTAGTGTCCTTTTCTTAAATTATAGCTGAAAAGTTCAAGACCTCATCCTGAATATTTTTGTTATAATATGGCCAGTATTTATTCATAATGATTAATTATAACAGATCAGATTTCTCTAAACCAGGATAAAAAAGAACTGATCAGTACTACAACGGCCCAGTAAAGTAAATCACAATGCTATTTAAAGCTATTGTTCAGGTGAAGGGATGAGGATGTCTGTTGTCATACCAGCATGCCATTCATTCTATTGGAATTAGCTCTTTTATAGGGGGGGGGGGAGGGTACCAGGGAAAATTCTGAAATTCGAGAGCAGTGGGCTATTTCAGCAATTTTTAGTCAATATCAAAACTAAGAGGGGCCATTATATGTAAAATTAAATGAAAATTGGAACATGGAGGGGTCAATTTCAGTTTTGAAGGGACAATGGCCCCATCTTGGCCCGTTTCAGGATTATCCCTGGTTACAGCATGGTGCATTCATGATCACATACTAGAAACATAGTAAAAAGGCTGATCACACATCGAATGTTGATCAGTTCAACATAGGTAGACTTTGCAATTTATATTCATAAGAGTATGGACCATCCTTGCAGTCTCTGGCTGCTTGAACAGACATTTTCCAAATTATATTCTTTAACATTACAAAACACAAATACTATAATATATGCATCCTAATTCAATTAAGTCTTAAGGTCAATTTTTCAAGAACCAATTCTATAATAAGAATGATTAACAAACATATATTTCGTAGTGAATGATATATATATATAGCATGGGGTTAAATCAATCTTAGGAGCTTTATGCAATTTTCTCCTTTCGTTTGGTTTCTATTTCCTCCTCTTTTTAACAGGAAAATTATCAGTTTTCACCATCAGGAAATCCTGTCACTTAAGTACTTATATCAAAGGTACCCACATATATATAACTGTAGAACTTACAGTTAAATTATAAATGTGAACAAGATTGACCATGGTCATTACTTTGCTAATTGACTACAGGTATGTATATATGTAATTATATAAGCACTAGCTAGATACAGTTTTCTAAACATTGGAGGCCATTTGCCAACAACTTTACTATTTTCAATACGAAGCAAATAAGATCCAACAACTCAATGTTCCTTCAGTTCTAAAGGTTTTTGTAGCCTTCCGTGGACATATTCTTAATGGAATTCAGTAGTCCAGCACAAAAAGTATTTGAAACTCTAAGTATGGAGGACTGGATAATATCCATAGGACCAAAAGGATGTTGTCAAGTCATCTTTACTTTCAATTTCTACTATTTTCAAGTAAATGATATATTTTTACGTTTAGTGTGCTGATGATTGAATGTTACAACAGTACATTTGTTTCAGGTGTACACAGTTCATGTAGGACCTAAATATTCTGAAACTACTTTCAACACAAGAATCTTACTTTCATTATAATTTTCACATAGCTTGACGTTACTTTGGGAATAGGGTTGAAAACCAATAGCGAAAACTTTGCAAATCAAAATATTCGACTGTAAGTCAATTATCATTCAAATTAATTGACCAATTCGATAGAATTCCAGCAAGTGTTTTTTCCCCCAGACATATAATACATGTCAACATGCATTCGAGAAATCAGCGAAAAATTATCACATTACAAAATCTGCTGTAGATCACTGAACTCAAAAGATTAATACCTGAACTTTTTTTAAAGCTTTTATAAAGCACAAAGACACATAATCTTCTTTCTCAATCTTGACATGAGTTTTGAGTTCTCTCCCTATAAATTCCAAACTAGAAGATCAGAAGACCTGTCTTAAAATTAAATGTGATAGGATTGTTTCATGTTAGCATTACTTGGTTCAAATGAGCAAACTTTAGGTGAAAGTTTTTATTTATCACATTTGTTATGAGTAAACCATATTTAGGTACGAGTTCATCGTTTTGATTAAGTAATATTACAAGTTGGAATATTGGTAGCCTACTGAAAAGTGAAAACACAAGTTTAAAATTGGTACTATATAGCCATATGTCTTTAATACCCAGCCAGGGCGACATAAACTGAATTTAATTAATTAGATGGGGCCCTACTACTATACACATTTTAAGTTGGTAGATATATATATATGTCAATTAAGTCATTTCAGAGCTTCAGTGAAACTTGACAGCAATTTCTATGCATTTAATGTAACGTGAAAATCATGTTACACATTTTAACTGATTAATTGGACAATTACGTCAACATTAACATATGTAGACTACTAGATGTACTGTAGTGATGATGATGAGGAGGAGGAGGGAAAATAAGCTACATACCTCCTCCCGAGCGAGGGCGACCCACGTATTGAGCAGCAGCTTGAGACGACGGTCATGGTACCTCTTGGTCGTTTTGATGGCAATGAAAATGTCATCAATTTCTGTCCTTTTGTTTTTCGATTTTAAACTGGGTTGCACTTTTGGAATTTTCTCTTTCGCATCATCCTTTATAGTTTCTACCGACATTGCATTTCGCTGTTTCCGCGACAATTCAATGTCCGAATGCTGATCAACAGGTCCGACGACGCCATGTTGTTTCTGTCCCAAACTTTGTCCCTGTGCTAAACTTTTTTCAAAGTTATCATGCAAATATAAAATAATCGAAAATACTAAAATAAACAGACATATTGTAATTTTTATAACTTTCCGAAGTGAACACCTCATAACGTTTGGGCCTAAACAGTGTCTTTCCAAACATCTGTGATCGAGAGTGCTTACATACCGATACACACACTGTCTCCTCTGTTCACCGTTTGTGAGTAAACGAAGTAAAACTTTTCACACGGTGGTTTTCTAAAAATAGACCCACATTGTGATAGGAGGTCATGTGGGGTCAAGGGTGAAAGTTACAATTTCCGGAAGTTTTTAGGTTTCCTGATCATGCGCAATACACATTCAGTATACAACTTCCGTACATCACAAGATGGCTAGTGACACTTGGTAAGAATTCAGAGAGTCGTTTGAATAGGATGGCTTCACTTACAGTACTTGTAACACAAAAACGTTTTTTTTATTATTTCACAAATATAAAGTGATCATTCAGGTCAAATTAACTTGACAAACCATTTCCCTCGCCCATGACTACTGAGTAAAACCTGAAACAGTTCTCGACCATCACCTGTTCTGTACTGTACTGTAGTGTTAAGAGATTCAGATCAACACCGGTCTTTGTCGCTCAGTAATGAAATAATTACTTGCTGCTCATAGTGAATTGAACACATGTGGTTTAGTAATCCACCATTTGAATCCGATGGTCAATGACTAGGTACGACTTCAATATTGTAATAGGACGAGGAATAGTGATAAAAACGCGACCCTTGGCTCTCCAGCCCGATGCTCTACCGCTGAGCTAAAGGGAAATTCCCTACAGCTGACACTTGTAAGGCAACCTAATTAATCCACATCTTTTACACTATTATCCCTTTTTTCAAACACCAACCGAGGTTCTTTGACTCCCCTCCAAGGGTTTTCCTCCTTAAACGGGGAGGGTCAACGGCACCAATTTGTAATAGGACGAGGAATAGTGATAAAGATAGTGCCGTTGCTAGGGCTCGAACCCATGACCCTTGGCTCTCAAGCCCGATGCTCTACCGCTGAGCTAAAGGGAAATACCCTTCAGCTGACGCGTGTAAGGCAACCTAATTATTCCACATCTTTTACACTATAGTGAGAATAAAATCTGTGTATCTGTAATGACAAGACCAGTCGAAGGATGTGTCACAGCCCCATCCCAATTAACACTACACTTTAGGTTGAGATCTCCCTCCACTTTCCGAGATTGTCTTGAAAAACTGAGATACACCGGGGTTACAGAGATAAAACATCTTTGCAACCGAGATAAACTGGAATGCAAGTACATATGTAGTAGGACGAGGAATAGTGATAAAGATAGTGCCTTCGCTGGGGCTCGAACACGCGACCCTTGGCTCTCCATCCCGATGCTCTACCGCTAAGCAAAAGGGAAATTCCCTACAGCTGACGCTTGTAAGGCAACCTAATCAATGCACTTATTTTCCACATAAACTGCTATTGAAATAAATATTACAAAGTTGAGCATCTTCGAGCAAACAGTTATAATGTTACTATATTGATCATTTGTATGAAATATTTTTTAAAACATGTAGTAGTATTTCCAAATAGAGCACAGAACATTGGGCACATACAGATACATTTTGAACATACCAGACGTTTTCAAGAAATAGTTTAAGAGGACTCCTGAATTATGCATGTGGTAATTTAAATGTCATTGAAATATTTCGTCAAACTATAGCAGAAAATGCTGTTGGCTTTTTCATTTTTATTTTTTTTTACACAAATTTGTGAACCCTATTTTGTTAGTATTTTAGTATTATCGTCAAATTGACAAAAATTTTGATAAATATTTTTTAACAACAGTTCAAGTTTATCCCAGTTTACAGAGATATACATTTTGTCTCTGTTAACTGGCTGGGTGTATCATGGTTATTTGAGACCATCTCAGAAAGTCAGGGAGGTTCCCAACCTGACAAATGATCTTGCCAAGATGCAAAGACACAACTGTTTGTCAATAATATGTGTAACACAGATTATCGTAGATTTCCAAGTTGTCACTGTACAACTGCATGTCAATATTATGTGTAACACAGATTATCATAGATTTCCAAGTTGTCACTGTACAACTGCATGTCAATAATATGTGTAACACGGATTATCATAAATTTCCAAGTTGTCACTGTACAACTGTATGTCAATAATATGTGTAACACGGATTATCATAGATTTCCAAGTTGTCACTGTACAACTGTGTGTGTAAACATAATCTGTATGAGGTACTAACTAAGATTAACATTGATTTTTAGGTTGACAGAGTATGACAGCTGTGCCAGGCTTGGACAAGACCTGATGGTGAAAATCAATGAAAGAAATAAACACAACCGAACAAGTTCAACATACACCAAGGTACAATTAAAAGTCCAATCACAGTTATCAATATTAAGTACTAGTAGGAGTTAATCAGTTGTTTTAAAAGTAATTGTAGTATTAAGTAGTTATACAGGTGCAAAATCTACTTGTCCCTGGATTAATGTTTGTTGATTATAATCATACCCCAATATGGTACAGAATGAGGAATCATTACTATCAAGGTAATGCCATTGAGAATTGACTTATCGCAATCTGTTCATTGTTTAAATTAAAAAAAAAAAAAAGAAACATAAGAACTGTAAAATATTTGAAATTGAGAAGTAATGCCATCTACTTACAGTACATTTGCATCTAAGATTCTTTGCAGTGTGCTGTAATAGTAATGTCCCTGTGACCTTCACCTCTAGGTCAAAGATGATCATACAATGCACAAATATGATTACACCTGTTAAAAGGGATGGTGCATAAAATCCCTTAATTATATGAATTTCTAAAATTAAAGGAGAACTGATTAATTTGAAATAAATAATGAGTCAAGTGTATATTATGAACCCTCCTACGACTCAAAAGAGATAATTGTGTCCATCAATGGTCAAAGAAAGTTCAAAAATTCCATTAACATTTTTGTCCAGTTTGTAATATTAAGACCATTATAATTATCTTGATGTAACTAAAAAGTATACTTTCATCACAATTTTATTGCCCACCAAAGCGTCACAGTAATTAGATAAGCATAATATTCATCTCAAAGCCAAAGTTCAAATTAGTGTATAAATTTGAACAGCCATAATTATGAATTGTTATAAAATATAGCTTTCTGAATCTCAAGTATACCTGCATCACCCAAAAGAGAAGTCCCATGCACTTTAAGTAGGTCACATCCAATGCAATATGCACATTTTGGCTATTAAGGGAAAACAGGTTTTTGTTCACAAAAAAAGAGGTAAAATGTGTGTTTCGTATGTTTCCAGTTATCTGCTCAGATACGGGTGTCTATGAAGCAGTTCACCAATGACCTCAACAAGCTGAAGCAGCAACTGATCCGTGCCTCGTCCTCCTACCATATGTATCCTTCCAAGCTATATACATACATGTGAATAGTTTCTACGAGGGCTTCAACCATTGCAGGGATTCAGGACAGAGAATCCATCAATATTGAACAGCAACCACGGCTCAGAGGATTTTGACCAAATTTGGTCTGGAGCATCATTGGCCAAACGGTTCTCAGTTTTGTATAAACGGAAGGTATGGTCCCCCTGGGGGCAGAGGGGCAGGGCCAAATAGGGGGAAAATAGGTAAATCTATAAAAATCTTCTTCTCAACCAATTGAAGGATTTTGACCAAATTTGTCCTAGAGCATCTTTGGACAAAGGAGACTCAAGTTTGTATAAACGGAGGGTGTGGCCCCTCTGGGGGCGGGGCCCAATAGGGGAAATAGAGGAGTTTTTTCTCCTGCTATACAAGTGAAGGGATTTAAACCAAATGCAGTCTGAAGCATGATAAGGTACAAAGAATCAATTTTGAATTAACTGAGGTGTGTGGGCTCCCTTCTTTGGGTCAGATGGGTGGGGCCCATTAGGGGAAATAGAGGAAAACATTAAAGATCCTTCTCCTTTTGTACCGATGAAGGGGTTTTGGCCAAATTTGGTCTGAAGCATCATTGGCCAAAGGGTTCTCAGTTTTGTATAAACGGAGGTTATGGTCCCCCTGGGGGCAGAGGGGCAGGGCCAAATAGGGGGGAAATAGGTAAATTTTTAAAAATCTTCTTCTTCTCAACCAATAGAAGGATTTTGACCAAATTTGTTCTAGAGCATCTTTGGACAAAGGAGTCTCAAGTTTGTATAAACAGAGGGTGTGGGGGCATAGGGGTGGGGCCCAATAGGGGAAATAGAGGAAAACATTAAAGATCCTTCTCCTTTTGTACCGATGAAGGGGTTTTGACCAAATTTGTTCTAGAGCGTCTTTGGACAAAGGAGTCTCAAGTTTGTATAAACAGAGGGAGTGGGGGCATAGGGGTGGGGCCCAATAGGGGAAATAGAGAAAAATATTTTCCCTTCTGTACAAATGAAGGGATTTAAACCAAATGCAGTCTGAAGCATGCTTAGGGGAAAAAAACTCAATTTGTTTGAATTGTATAAAAAGGTGCATGTGAGGCCCAATAGGGGAAATAGAGGAAAATAACATGGAAACTCATTTTCTTGGTGTCTTCCCCACAAAATACGGATTTATATGTAGTTCTTCTTGCAACTTTGTTTCTTGTACTCCTTTGATAAATCTGAATGGTACTTAGCAGGTTTTAAATTGAAAAATAAAATACCAGGTGAGCTATTAAGGCCCCTGGGCCTCTTGTCTACCTTTGCAAGATTAAAAGAGAACTTCCTTTGTTGTCACATTGCTGGCATCCACATAGAGATATGTCAGCAGGAAATATCTTATGAAGTAATTACTGGTATCGGATTTTGATAAAATGGTAAAACACATTTTCTGATTCCCTTGCTGAAGTTTGATGATTAGCAAAATTAATTCCATGGGACTACTGCTGTCTGATTGGCCAATGATTTCCATATATCTTTTTGTTTTAAATTAATGGATCAAAACAGTATGGCTAAGCTTTGTGCTTGTAACTAATTTATATCTTCTGACACATTACTTTCTGAAGTACCCATCTTTGTCATCACATGGAGATCTACTATGACTACATTAGATTTCCTCAAATTTTATCAGGAATTACAGCCTTTGTATCTGCTAAATATTTATGTCTAACCTGGAATTATTTCATCATTCATAAATACTTGTATCCATACTTACAACTAATGACAGGGAACATTGGTTACATAGTTGTAATCTTTAACCTTATCAAAGTATTCACATTAATTATGAACTTTATCCTAAAATTATTTACCACTGATGTGACCTTGACTAATCAGAACTCAGAGAGAAGTAGAGCGTCGCCAAATGATGACCGATAACCTAACAACGAAGGAGAAACAGATAGAACAAGCATTCCGTAACGAGGGAGGAGATTCAAGGTATTGTGTGATAGTATTCAGGCAAGGGTCAAAACAAGGATAGTGTTTTGTAGGTCTGTAGTAGTGTATGTGACCAAACCATGTAAATGATGTTTGGAAATTATTTTGAATCCCAGGTAACATTAGGGATAGAATTTCTGAAGAAGTTAATGTAATTAGTAACTTAAATTCCAGTCCAAAAAGACTATTCTGTGACTTGAATTCAGATTTGTATACATTTTGGTGCCTAGACATTTAATCAGGTTTCTGTGTGTTATGGTGTTTGTGTTATGTTATAAATAATTCTTTGTTACACCAGTTTATGTGAAAAAAGATATCACATTAAAAGTAGTCTGTAACATTCACATTTGTGGAAAATAAAGTATATGAAGTTTAAATGGAGCAAATGTTCTGATTTGTAACCTCAGTAAAGGTATTATAACAAAAGGTAAGAGATAAAACAAAGAGAGTTACTTCCCCTGACATTTGTACACAGTTGCAGTCTCACTAAAAGATCATCGGTTAGAAGTAAAAATTGTACATGTATTCTGTATTTAACTATGAGGGAAATGTCATTTTAGATTGTCTGAAGTGAGTCAAGTGACCTTTTTATACATTATTTAACACTCCAGTGTATGTTATTTGAAAAAGAACCTGACATTCAAAAAGTATCTGTTTTAGCTCTAGTTACATAACCGTATCTGAAGTAACCATGTGATAACCCTACATTATCTGAAATACATTTCCCAAAATAACCGTTTATGTATTATGTGAAGACAGAAGTAGCCAAGTATAAACTATCTGAAAATAAGACTATTGACTTATTTTGATTATGATTGATGGATACAGGTTTTCACTGATGGGGTCAGCAGGGGACACCTTTGGAAGCAGTGATCCCTGGGGAATGAGGGACGATCCAGAGGAGTACCGAGACATGTCAAACAATGACCTCCGCAGTCAACAGCAACAGGTCATCCATGGTAAGCCACTACTCTGTTGTTATGAGTTTTGTTTTTTGATGTTTTTTGTAGGTGACCCTCAGTTACATATGTTGGAAATATCCAAAGTCTATAAAACATCATTGTCCATACTGCTATTCAAACTAGGGCATCTTGAACATAAGGACCTTCAGACTTAGAAATGATCTTGAGCAACAACAAATATGCATCTCTATTTCTACCTTGATTATTGATACATGTTTCAGAGCAGGACAGAGGTTTGGATGCCCTCTCCAGTGTTCTGTCCCGACAGAAGCAGATGGCAGTTGATATTGGAGATGAGGTGGACAGTCAGAATGGTCAGTACATACTAGTTATTGGACCTTTGTTTATGTATCGGTAATTTTTGTAGGAATAAAGATTTTGAATTTTTAGCATTCTCTCTATCATAGCTGTTATAAAGATGTGAAGATTGAGATATCAGACAGTATTAAAATATCTCTGACAAGGTTATTGATTATGTTAACCGATTCGTGGTCTTGCGAGCGAGTAACCAGTTAACAAGCTTACCCTTGACAACTCTAGTATAAAGATACCTACAATATTAATAACTTCTGTGACCATACTGTGAGATGGATATAGTTTTTGAAATAAACATCTGTCAATATTATAACGGGATGTATTAAGTATTGGGAGCATTGTTTCTCAACAATTTTGCTTCTGCAAGAATAGCTTCCTGAAATATCGTTCATAAGCATGTACAATATACAAAAGCTCTGTTTAGTGAACAGTAAAAGGCACAATTACTTCATCAAAAATGGTGGATCCTGATGAAATTCGGTCAGTATTTATCCCATACAAAGACCAAGGGTAGGTTCTTTGAATTAAGTGAAATTCATGTGTAATTATTAGCACTCAGGAATTTCTTCCAATGTGTAGGACTCCCAATATTTGTGTCTGAATCCTAACTTATACCTTATTTCTATATCTTAAAGCTTTAATAGACGATATCACTAATCATACAGACCGGACAGGAGAACGACTGAAGAGAGAGACTAAACACATCAAAATAGTAGATAGGAAATCCAACGCTTGTTGTAAGTATACTTCAAAGTTGACGAAAAAACACATGTTATAATAAAAATAAAATAAATAAGATTGATCATGATTCAGTATTGTATCCAAATCATTGTAACAAAGATAAACTCATTATTTATGTTTGTGTTAGACACTTTGATCAGTGATTAAACTTGTGTTCCTGTACTGCTGGTGACACGTCTCTCCTTCTGTGGTATGTTTAGACTTGTGTTCCTGTACTGCTGGTGACACATCTCTCCTTCTGTTGTATGTTTAGACTTATGTTCCTGTACTGTTGGTGACACATCTCTCCTTCTGTTGTATATTTAGACTTGTGTTCCTGTACTGCTGGTGACACGTCTCTCCTTCTGTTATATGATTAGACTTGTGTTCCTCTACTTCTGGTGGCACATCTCTCCTTCTGTTGTATGTTTAGACTTATGTTCCTGTACTGCTGGTGACACGTCTCTCCTTCTGTTGTATGATTAGACTTGTGTTCCTGTACTGCTGGTGACACGTCTCCCCTACTGTTGTATTTTTAGACATGTGTTCCTGTATTCCTGGTGACACGTCTATCCTTCTGTTGTATGTTTAGACTTGTGTTCCTGTACTGCTGGTGACAAATCTCTCCTTCTGTTGTATGATTAGACTTGTGTTCCTGTACTGCTGGTGACACGTCTCTCCTTCTGTTGTATGATTAAACTTGTGTTCCTGTACTGCTGGTGACACGTCTCTCCTTCTGTTATATGATTAGACTTGTGTTCCTGTACTTCTGGTGGCACATCTCTCCTTCTGTTGTATGTTTAGACTTGTGTTCCTGTACTGCTGGTGACACATCTCTCCTTCTGTTGTATGATAAGACTTATGTTCCTGTACTGCTGGTGACACGTCTCTCCTTCTGTTGTATGATAAGATTTGTGTTCCTGTACTGCTGGTGACACATCTCTCCTTCTGTTGTATATTTAGACTTTTGTTCCTGTACTGCTGGTGACACGTCTCTCCTTCTGTTGTATGTTTAGACATGTGTTCCTGTACTGCTGGTGACACATCTCTCCTTCTGTTGTATGTTTAGACTTGTGTTCCTGTACTGCTGGTGACACGTCTCTCCTTCTGTTGTAGGTTATTGGGTTGTCATTGTGCTGCTGTTCGTAGCCATTATTGTTGTGGCCGTTATTCCACATAATGGGAAGGGTTAACAAAGGCTTACATAGGTAAGTACATGCTTGATAAGGGCTTACATACGTACATTGATACTTGACAAGGGCTTAAATAGGCAAGTAGATGCTTAATCAGGTCTTGCAATGGTAAGTAGATGCTTCACTATTAAGCTGTAGAAGGCTTGATAAGGGCTTACAAAAGTAAGTAAATGCTACACTATGAAGCTGTAGAAGGCTTGATAAGGGCTTACAAGGGTAAGTAAATGCTACACTATGAAGCTGAAGAAGGCTTGATAAGGGCTTACAAAGGTAAGTAAATGCTACACTATGAAGCTGTAGAAGACTTGATAAGGGCTTACAAAGGTAATTAAATGCTACACTTTGAAGCTGTAGAAGGCTTGATAAGGACTTACAAAGGTAAGTAGACACTTAACTATGAAACTGTGGAAAGCCTGGCCGAGGCTAACATAGGTAAGAAGATGCTACACTGTGAAACTAGGGAAGGCTTGACAAGGATTTCTATGGTTGCATGTTGATGCTTCATGATAATGATCGGAAAGGCTTGACAAGGGCTTATATATAAATGTAGGTAAATTGTATTATGTATAATGTGAAAGCTATGACAGAGCCTTACAACTGTTCTAGGTAATTTGATTTTAAACATACAAGCATGGTGAGGTTTGATAAGGTTAAGCTGATGCTACACTGTAAAGCTTTGGAAGAATAGATTGCTTTTGTATATTTTTGAACTAACTTTGCACTATTCCGCTATATCATTTTTAAAGGCCTGTTCTTCAATGTTGCAAACATATTATAAGTCACAAATTGTCTCTTTGTTTCACCAATGCAAATAAACAGGTATAGCTATCAATTTTCTGTGAAAGCTTGCAAATTTTGAAACACCAGCAACTTATTTTTATTTATTAGTCAAAATTTGTTGCATCAAATGTCTTTTGCTTGATAACTACAGCTACCAGATAATGAGAAAGTCAGTTGAATTGCTTTTGTTAAAATATATGAATCTTATATTACTAATCTTGAAATTGTGGAAATGACATTAATGGTACTCATAAACTTTTATTCTCACAACTAAACATATCTGAAATTGTTGATGGCTAATTGATTGATTAGTTTATTAGTAATTAAGGATATATACTTCCTTTCTTTGTCATGATCTTCTCTCCATAAGAGTTAACACTAACGTCGTATAATTGATAATTGATTTGGTTAAGGTATTGAAATGTTTTAAAGGTAAATAGGAATGCATGTATTAAAATGAATCTACCATAAAACGCAAATAGAATGTGTAAGGTATCGTGTATCCTTAAATCAGTTCAGTAAGGTTTACTCGGAGATGAACAAGCCAGCCTTAAGTGTTACAGTACCTCTGTATGTATTTCTGGTTTTCGTTGCAGAGTGCCTGTCCATTTTAGTGTTGTGTACGGTCGAGACTATCTGCAATGTGTTGAGTTGTCCTTCTCAGGTGTCCTGAGGGACCCTTGATGTTTATGAAACTTTCATTACCATGGGACCAGGAAATACTTATAAGAGACAGTTTATTTTGTTGAAACCTGCCTGGAGAAGAATCAGGAAGGAGTAAATTTAGTTTAGAATGCAACCAGTCCCCATTTGATGCTAAGCAGCATTGGTGTCATGTTTATTTGGACCATTATGTTGAATATGTATATTTCCTTTATAGACCATGATGTCTACACATGTTGTGCAATGCTATGCGAGTTTCCTGGTTTGATACTTAATCTCCAGCTAGTAAGTGATAGGTATAGGTATATATATACAGTCTGTAACGTACTGGGTATAACTACCTAATATTGTTACCTGACTACGAGTGAGTGATAGGTATAGGTATATATATATACAGTCTGAATCGTACTCGGTATAACTACCTAATATTGTTGCCTGACCACGAGTGAGTGATAGGTATAGGTATATTTATATACAGTCTGTAACGTACTCGGTATAACTACCTAATATAGTTACCTGACCACGAGTGAGTGATAGGTATAGGAATATATATACAGTCTGTAACGTACTCGGTGTAACTACCTAATATTGTTCCCTGACCACGAGTAAGTGATAGGTATAGGTATATATATATACAGTCTGTAACGTACTCGGTATAACTACCTAATGTTGTTACCTGACCACGAGTGAGTGATAGGAATAGGTATATATATACAGTCTGTAACGTACTGGGTATAACTACCTAATATTGTTACCTGACCACGGGTGAGTGATAGGTATAGGTATATATATACAGTCTGTAAAGTACTCGGTATAACTACCTAATATTGTTACTTGACCACGAGTGAGTGATAGGTATAGATATATATATACAGTCTGTAACGTACTCGGTGTAACTACCTAACATTGTTACCTGACCACGAGTAAGTGATAGGTATAGGTATATATATACAGTCTGTAAAGTACTCGGTATAACTACCTAATATTGTTACCTGACCACGAGTAAGCCTCAGCAGTGATGAGGTAATCATCTAGAACAGGAAATAGACTTTAACCATGTTTCTATTCATTAGTCATTCAAATATTTCAGTATACATCAAAATTAGGGGTGACTATTGCGGCCAATTTCACAATTGCAATATTATTGCTATCGCGGAAAAACTATTGCAATATTATTATTATTGCACATTTTATTGCGATAGAATTGCGATATTATTGGGTAGATAACATTAAGCCGTAGTGTATGTTAACTGTTTTAAATCACGAATTTCAAATGTAAATCAATGCTATCTGGGGTTTCTCTAAAACAACTTACTGCCGTGTTTATATAATGTTTCTATTTGTCTGTTGTCATTGTGTTTATAATTGATAAATACAGATGTAAAAATAATGAAAATCCACAAATGATTGAAACTTAAACTCGCTTTTTAGTTTTTATTTGTCCATCTTAGAATCACTAGAATGACACTTCTTTGGACCTTTGTTGCCTCTAGTTCAGTACTAGTATTGTCGTCTCGGAGATGTTGAAGAGATTTTGGACAAAAACATTGTCGCAAGGCCTAGAGTTGGTGCCGTCAAACTTGAAGTGGTTAACAATTTCCCCTGAGTTGCCGGAACTTGCAGAAGATCCTGATTCAGGGACGGGTGCTTCCGACGAATATGGTCGTTCAGGTTCGTCGTGTTGGAACAGTATTAAAGAATTGTTTCACAAAGGCGGCATGCAACTCTTCTTATCTACAATATCATTCTCTTTGACAAATCGAAAGTGTTTCCACACCGCAGCTTTTCCGTGGGCATTCTTGACAATCGTGATAGCAGACGCCATGCTCCTTTCTTTAAATGAGAGTGACCTCCCCTTAATCAGTGTAGCGACTAGTAGTGCGGAACAAACGTAGTGATGACTCGGACAATTTGGGGGAATTCGCCGACCGAAATATTTACATGTTTGAGGCTCCGAGAAGATGCTATTAATAACTATTGAAACAATCAATATCTGACGGAACAATCGGCAATAAATATTGAATTTTAATATACAATCGATGCATTGATATTGGGAAGGATTTATTGCAATCTATCGATATTTCGATGCATTGTTACACTCCTAATCAAAATATACCGGTAATAAAAATGGAAATCTGTAGTGGGGAAGAAGAAATTTGATTTAATGAATGATTGATAATGTAATGCAAATTTCTGAGAAAGCTTACTAGCATACATTAGTCTGGGTGGGAAGGAGGAGTAGAGGATTGAAATGACTTTATCTGCTAATTAACTGGAGGATAACAGTGGAGTACATGTCTAAATTTGACCTGATCAGGGAGTTCTTTGGTAAGCACAGAACCTTTTTTAAGGTTTTTTATTCATTTGTGATACATGTATACTGTAAAATTAACATATGTATCAGCTGTATTCTTATTTTAGGGGTTTTCATGCTGTCTCTGGTGCACTTACGTTTTGTACCATTAGCTTTAGAAATACAAAATTTCCAAATTACATTTGGAAAGGAAACAGTTGATATACTACTTGCTGATTACACTTCTAGATCTGTTGTACCGTTGAATGCTAAAATAGGAGCGTACTGATATAAGTATCATTACAGTATACGTTAAATATGATCACTTTTTTTAATAAAGAAACTGGAAGCACTGTACAGTTTACAAATTTTACAACACCTATTTATATTGTGTTTAAGGTGTTTATTTCAAAAATACTTCGACAGTTTTATAGATAAAAGGAACCTGAAAATAGCAGTGTTAAAAATTTGATTCTTTAACTTGACTCGTTTTGCAAATCTCCACTCCTCCATAAACAGAACCTGATAGTAATGTTACATCTATAGATACTTAAAACCTTAACAATGCTAGACATTGTCATGGAGACAAATGTAGAAACAACCCGTGGTTTTTGTTGTTTTCCACAAATCATGGTTGTCTGAGAACGTATGCCTGCTTCCTGTACCTGTTATACAGGTATACTGCTGTGTCCCTACTCACCACTCACTGTTAGAGGGGTTACTCCAACAGTGCTAGAGGGTTAACACACAAGATACTTTTGACAGGAGTTGTAGTAAGCATAATCATATCTGATAGAAAATGACTGACTAGTGGCCTCTTATGTTAAAGGAGAGTAGAGGGGTTTGTGATGTGAAAGATTGAATGATGACTGGTGCGTACATGTGTTACATTATTGTATATTTGTATATTGCTACATATTAAATTATCATACAATTAATACTGTGTTTGGTTTGAACGTGTCTGACCAAGGAAACTATCAAATACTGGGACCTACTACTACAGATTGTCAGTACATGGTGAGAAGTCGTGGGGGCCAGGACATAATTGTGCAAGTCAGCCAAATGACAATCCGTCTAAATATAGACATTGCACGAACTAATTTGCAACACTTCACTTTAAGGACTCGCACAACTAAATCAGCCAATCTGCAAGTGTTTCATACGTTTGTAGTTCCTATTTGAAATAGGTTCCGGCTAATTACTGGGCCATTAAAGGACTTTAATAAGGAACTGATGAAAGATTTTTAGAAAAATGAAATGTTCAGGTATTTAACTTTTGAAAAATATATACTTTTGATATATTTCTATGTCTGTGTGCGGATTTGCACAGGGGCAAAATGTCTGGGGGCGTTTCTGTTTTTGGTCACCGGTTTTGCTTGTAAACTACCGGTTGTCAACTTCTTGGCGCTGTGACACTCCAATATGCCACTTAACCTACCAAAAAAGTCATTTTGTGGCCTTTGCAAGGTATGTATTTATGAATCGAGACAGTTGTCACTAGTTTTGAACTTCAAATATTAAAGTTATTAGCTAAATTGTTTGGTAATAACATATAGTAAATGATTTAGTTGTGTGAGTCGTATAAGCCAAATGTATAAGATGTTTGGATTACCCTGAAACGTTAACGAGATATATAGAAAGTCTGGCACCTGACATTTCAATCAGATGTGAAAAGTGAAAAGTCTACCATAATTAAACTTTAGTGAGACGTCTGGTGTATCTAACATTTTAATTGCACATGAAAAGTCTGGCATGACTGACATGTCCACCACATGTAAAATCTTGTGTGACCGACATGTCCATCACATGTAAAGTCTGGTGTGACCGACATGTCCATCACATGTAAAGTCTGGTGTGACCGACACGTCCATCACATATGAAAAGTCTGGTGTGACCGACACGTCCATCACATATGAAAAGTCTGGTGTGACCGACACGTCCATCAAATTTGTAAGTCTGGTGTGACCGACATGTCTATCACATATGAAAGTCTGGTGTGACCGACACGTCCATCACATGTAAAGTCTGGTGTGACCGACATGTCTATCACATGTAAAGTCTGGTGTGACTGACATGTCCATCACATATGAAAAGTCTGGTGTGACTGACACGTTCATCACATATGAAAAGTCTGGTGTGACTGACACGTCCATCAAATTTGTAAGTCTGGTGTGACTGACATGTCTATCACATGAAAGTCTGGTGTGACCGACACGTCCATCACATGTAAAGTCTGGTGTGACCGACATGTCTATCGCATATGAAAGTCTGGTGTGACCGACACGTCCATCACATTTGTTAGTCTGGTGTGACTGACACGTCCATCACACATGAAAAGTCTGGTGTGACTGACATGTCAATCACATATGAAAAGTCTGGCGTGACTGACATGTCCTTCACATGTAAAGTCTGGTGTGACCGACATGTCTAAATCTTTAATGAGACCTGCATGAACAATTAGTATAATTTCAACACCTTTAATGAGACAGGAAAATTACAACTTATCTATCTGAAGTTAAGTTTTAAGGCTAAAAAAAAACTACTTGAGATAGTGGCATAACACCATGCATCTATATTTTTAGCCCACCATCATCTGATGGTGGGCTATTCAAACCACCTTGCGTCTGTGGTCCGTTGTCCGTCGTCCTTCCTTAAACAATTCTTGTTATTGGTATTTCTCAAGAAGTACCAGAGGGATCTTTCTCAAATTTTATATGTAGGTTCCCCTTGGTCCCTAGCTATGAAGGGCAACTTTTGAGACTGATCAGATAAACAACATGGCCGACAGGCAGCCATCTTGGATTTTGATAGTGAAAGTTTGTTATCGCTATTTCTTGGGAAGTACCCGAAGGGTCTTTCTTAAATTATAAATGTAGGTTCCCCTTCGTTCTCGGCTGTGCAGGGCAACTTTTGAGACTGATCAGATAAACAACATGGCAGACAGGCAGCCATCATGGATTTTGATAGTGAAAGTTTGTTATTGCTATTTCTCAAGAGGTACCAGAGGGATTTTTTAGCCCACCATCATCTGATGGTGCGCTATTCAAATCAAAGTTTGTTATTGCTATTTCTCAAGAGGTACCAGAGGTATTTTTTAGCCCACCATCATCTGTTGGTGGGCTATTCAAATCACCCTGCATCCGTTGTCCGTCCGTCCATCGTCCGTCCTTAAACAATTCTTGTTATTGGTATTTCTCGGGAAGCACCAGCGGGATCTTTCTCAAATTTTATATGTAGGTTTCCCTTGGTCCTTCGCTGTGCAGGGCAACTTTTGAGACTGATCAGATAAACAACATGGCAGACAGGCAGCCATCATGGATGTTGATAGTGAAAGTTTGTTCTCGCTATTTCCCGGGATGTACATGAGGGATCTTTCTCAAATTTAATAGGTAGGTTCCCCTGGGTCCTAAGCTGTGCGGAGCATCTGTTGAGACTGATCGGATAAAAACATGGCCGACAGGCAGCCATCCTGGATTTTGATAGTGAAAGTTTAATATCGCTATATCTCGGGAAGTACCAGAGGG